TTCAAGTGTAACATTCAAATTTCGTTACCTTATGTTCCACCACAATTAACAGCACTTTTAATCATGGTGATGAAATGTTTCATTAGTTTCAATGATGCTTCTCATTAATACATTTTAAGCTGTCAGATAATTTATTCATTTAAAATATATGTATGGCTGTCCTCTTAAAATTACAGCTAACAGCCGCTCACAGAACAATAAAAATGCTAAACTATTAAAAAAACATAAAACGTAAAACATGACCAAACAAAACCAGTGCTTCGCTTGACTCCAGAACCTGAATGAAAAGTCAGAATGGCCTTCTGGAAAGCATAGAAGATAGGGCCTGCTTTTGCTGGAGGAGGGAGGATTTCCACAGGGCAGGGGAAGCCATGGAAATGGCAAGCCTCCGAGGATCCATTGGATGGTAACATTTCAGGGAAGGAACCTGAAGTATGCTTATCCTATCTGATCTGGTAGGGCAGGTAGATCATCTATGTGATAGGTGGTCTAGTACAGGGGTCACCAATCTTTTGGACCTCAGGGACCACCGAACTCATAATTTTAAAACCTGCAGACCAGAGACCCTGGGAAAATCCCAAAATCCCAAAAAAAGTCTGCAGGAAAATTCCCCACCCTGTATTCCTACCGATTGATCATTCTTTATTTGAGATTGCAGGATACCGTCTCCAGCTTTGTTCTCAGGGAGAGAGAGACAGAGACAGAGAGACAGAGACAAAGACAGAGAGACACACACAGAGACAGAGAGATAGAGACACACAGAGAGAGAAAAAACAGAGACAGAGAGAGACAGAGAGACTTTTGGCCTCATGCGAGGAAAGCAGCAGAAGCAGCAAAAGTCTTTCTTTCTCTCCCCCAAACTCTGCCAGAAATCAGTCTTTACTGGCACAGCCTCTTGGAGCAGGATGCCTTGCAGGGTCCCAAAGGCTCATTTCTGGCGGAGTTTGCGGGGAGAGAAAGACTTTTGCTGCTTTCCTTGCATGCAGCCAAAAGCAGAAGAAAGAAGTGGAAAGAAGCAGCCCAGTGGCCAGGTGAGGTGAGTGGGGCAAGTCCCCCCCTACCCTTTCCCCCCCTCCCCTCACTACCTCTTGCTTTTGCAATGCAAGCGATACAAGCCTTGTGTTCCTGCAGGCCATGGGGGCAGCGCAGCCTCGTGTTCTCGCTCAGCCTGGATTAATTGCTTTGGGGGTGACATTTCTCTGAGAATCACCAAAATTTTCTCCCGGACCACCAGTGGTCCCCGGCCCACTGGTTGGTGACCACTGGCCTAGTATATAACTGGTCTCATGCTATGCAGGCCTTTCAAGGTGATAGCCAGCAACTTAAATTTCACCTGGAAGAAAACTGGGACTCATTATAGGTTCCCTATCAGAAGTGCAATGAGGGCAAACCTATAAGTTTCCAGCATTGTGCACACCACTGCATTTTGGCTCACGCTACAATTTTCGCATTCTTCTTGCCTTAGAAATCACAGCAGGAAATAATATAGAAATGTTTGGGAATTATGATCAGAGGCAATTCTGAAGCATATAAGTAAGAGTTAGCCCTGTTATCCACCTCATTATGGATATTTCTTTGTAAATGTATTGATTACATTTCACTAATAATGTGACTTTTCCCTAGGTTTTAAACCTTTTGTAGCATGGTGGTGCAAATTGAGATATACAATACATTTGTCTTTGTCATGAGTGTTGTGATCTTGCACTCTGTGTTGTCTTTCAATTTTAGAAGAGACTTGATTTACCATGCTAATAAAAATGTGATAACTCCTCAATTTTGCAATTTTTGAGTGATGTTGGAATTAGAGACAATCTTCTGGTGGTGTAGAATTTGTGCAACTAGAACATTTATTAAGTTTTTTAAAATATTCTTTTTTTCTTTTGAGATAGTATAAATTTAGAAAAAGTGTGAAGTTTCAAAACTATCGTTTGCATAAGTATGGTGAAATAATTGATAATATGCTTGATGGAATTACATACAAAAGAATTACACACTATTTTCTTACAGAAGATGAGGATTTTGTTTTAGATTATTATATACAGATTGATAGGTCCAGTTTACATCTGCATGGTCAACATTAAAATCTGATTTTACATTTAATATGCTGTTTTTAACTATCCAATAATGTCCTTTTTTATCCCATCAACTATTTCACAGGTTCTTCCAGAAAATCTAGCACAGTATTTATTAACCTGTCTTCAGTAATAAAGTCTGAGTCTACAATAGAAACACTGCTCCCTTTGTTTAAACATTCATATTCATAGCATATAATAAAAGCTCCCCCACTGAATGTGAAATATTTGATGACTCACTTTATAATTTTGGGGGCAAGCACCTTTTTCACAAGACCTTCAGGTTTTGTCCTATATTAAGAAAGGCTATTTCTTGGACTTGACCCAGTAAGTGTCATCTGAATCAATTTAATACTGCAGTTTCTAAGACGATGGAGTTAATAATTCAACTTTTTTTTTACCAGAGGTACATAAATAATAATTTCACAGTAGTTACTTGAAGGGCCATGTTCTTCTCTTGATTCTTTAACAACCAGAGGCAACTACTAAGGGAAAATAGATATTGTCAACCTACATAACTGATATGCTGTGGGTATGCTGAATCAGTCTTTGGAATCAAGAATTGCTTGGCTCATAGCTAACCTTCACCAAGCAAGATTCAGCCCAGAAAAGAGTATTCTTACAGAAGCTAGTAAAAGGCAGCTTATATAATGAGTCGGTTGGTTCTTTTCCTTGGCCAATTTCAACATGCTGAGAAAAGGGCTTTGTATGTAAGCCTTGAATATACCATGAGAATAAACTGTTTGTAATTATTTATAATATTAATGTGATTTTAATGCATTGTTGCAATTTTATTATAATATTTGTTATTTGGTTGCTTCTGACTGTTTATGGCCCAGGGGACAAAACTGTGTAAACTGTACATTCATCCCAAAGTTAATAAAAGAGAGAGAAAAAATTAGTAACGGTGATATATAGAAGCATTGATTTAATATAAGGGTTTCTTAACTTTATGTATTGTAAATTGGCATATTTACTATGCATGTTATTATCCTTTCATGTAACTGGAGCAGCAGAAAACTCATAAAAAGAAATAATAATCTTCTGAATAATTTGCAGTACTGAGAAACCTGATTGTGACTTGACTGTGATCTGCTATTTAAATGTGGGAATGTGAATGTTAGCTGTATGCTATTTCATATCACACACTCGTTTAAGTGAAATTAAAAATTGTTGGTTACTTATAATACAATGCACTTTACACAATCAACAGAATTCCTTTTTTAAAAACTTAATAATATTTCTACATTCACCTGGCTTTTTTGGATGAAGTCTTAAAGGAAGAAAAACTAGCATTCACAATATGTGTGGTGAAAATGGTCAGAAAATTAGTTCAAGGTTAGGGTTACTATAGATAATGTCCAATTTGATTTACACATTCCTACTTGGTTCCTGTATCTAAATCAGATCAAACACGTGTCATTAATTTAGCTATTTCATTGGTCATAAGGAAATGTCAATTTAACCAAGGTCCAAAACAATTATTTATAGACATTTTTTAAATGAATAGAAGGCTTAATTAAGCCAACTGGATGGAAATCCTTGTTGTATTGGAAAATGGTAATTGCCTTACCTTATAAAGACCGATTTGACTCCAACTTTATAAAAGGGCTTTTGTCCAAAGAGACCAATCTCAGTATCTTCTTGCCTCAGTATGATATAGGAAATGCAAGATTTAAGGGGATAAAAAGAGTAAACCAGTTTGGCCCAAACTCTGTTACATAGATCCAGTCTGAAACAGGTTTATTGGATGGATGTAGCAGCTCAGAATTACAAACTGCATGTGAGAGTCACAAGATGGATTGTGATTTCCTTTGTTTATGTAAATATTTGTAGTATTAGAGATTAAATTTGGATCACACCATATTCTACTACTTTTTGTCCCTTTCTGTAATTTCAACATACGAAAGGAACATATGGTGACTACAGTATTTTTGTAATAAATTGTAACATTGCCATTAGTGTAGTAACTAGCAATATTTGCAGTTATTTTTATTGGTTTTAGATATTTATCTTAATTGATATTGCATCTCTAATTGGGGATAAGATTTCTCCTATTTCTCACTAATAGGTTAAATCTCTCCTCCCTTCTGCTGTTTCTTTCAGTGACAGTGAGCACTAGGAATTTTTCAACAATTTTTGGTTGATACTACAGTTGAAAATGTTATAATTTAAATTATTAAATGTTTAGAATATTGCAGGAATAAAGAGAATGTGGCAGTCACATTGTTTTATACATTGTTTTATGATGCAGCAAGTATCAGGTAAAAACCCAGACTGGGTTTTTAATCACAACAAACACAATTTTCTTTTCACTTGGTAACTAGCTAAGTTAATAACCAGTCACATTAACATAACAGAAACGTAATGTGAGTGGAGTATTTTTGGGGGGTGGATATATATTATCAATATCTTTCTAGGTATGTGTGAATCCATACCTTGAGAGTACAGTCTGTCTTTGGGTACTTTGTATGCATTTTGGACCATATTTGGGATTCTCTATCAACTTTCACTATTATCAAGAATGTACCACTGTTTAAAATGAAATTGGAAAGATTTTCTCTTTTCCCCTTTCTTAAACAAGAGAAAAAGGCTTGATCATCCATTCTTCCCCTGGCTCAGCAGAATATCTTTACATCAGAGAATTGTTCCTATTGCATTAATCCATATCAGATAGATCCTGGTAGGCTTTTTGGCTACCATTTTGTCAAAACTTCAAACAAAAGGCAAAGCTTTTTCTCTCTTCAGAATAAGTAAATGAAAGACAATTATCAAATGAAACATTTCCCCTGTCTGTCCCCAAACAGGGTTGGATTTAGAAGCACACCTAATTATTATTGCAGTTGTTGGAAGCTGGTTTTGCTCTGCCTCATTCTTGAGAAAGCACTGAAAAAGTTTGTTTATTGAAAAATCTTTTCTTTTGTTTAGTGGATGGATGTATACACAGAGCTGCTGGTCCTTGTCTAGTTGCTGAATGCCGCAGTCTGAGTGGCTGTGAAACTGGACAAGCCAAAATCACGTGTGGTTATGACCTACCAGCAAAATGTGAGTAAGCCATTTCATACTTTTTTAAAAAAAGAATCAGGTGAAATTATATATCTTTATTCATATCTATTTATTTATATTGAATTTTCAACAATCTAATGTAATGAAGCATTAATGAAATTAACAAAATTAAGTGTGGTTTACGATGACTTTTGTCCTTTGAGAAATGGAGATATTTTAAAAGCTTAGTTTCTGCTAAATAATTGGATACATCCAGCTTACTTTAGGAAATAGGATGGGTCATAGACTTCTGCCTATGAAAAAGCCTTCTAGCATTTTAAGAAAATAAACATTTTAATTTTGACTGCGTGGCTGTAGTAATGATGGTTTCACCAGAAGATTAGCCAGGAGGCATTGGATACTTGAAATGTATTCTTCTAACTTAGATGTATGGCACATAAAAATTTATATTTCCATGTAATGTCACACAGAATTAACCAAGGATTTATTACAGTTATTAAAAGGCTATATTCTATTTTATCCTGTCCTTATTACAGAGCACCTATGTAGATTGGTGTTTCTCATCTTCAATGCTTCTTAATCTTTAAATGGCCTCCTCTTTGGCTAGTGTACTTGAAGAGTTATTCTGTTTGGCCTTGGCAAAATCTAATGAGATGAGGTCATTGAAAACAGGTGTGATTAATTCCATTTGGAGACTGTATAAGTTGTTCTGAAAGATCCAAGATGTTGCTGTATATTTGGTAGTTTTCTAAGGGGTCTGCCTGCTGTCATGACTGGAAGAAGAGGCATAAGGTCTTTCTTTGTTCTTTTCTTTCTTTTTGTATTTGTTAGTGTCTTATATCCTTTAATATTTGTGGAGGGTTTTTTTTTTCCATTGATGTCTTATGTACGACTGTGTGTTATCTTCTCATTCTGCCTTTAAATAAAGCCTTTATTGGTGTGGTCATTCCTTCTGAATGCAAAAGTCCCTGTGATTGAATCCTGCCGGGCTGAGGACAGAGCAATTGAGAGATGTATGGCTTCTGACCTGATACAGATTCCTTGGGAGCAAATTCATTTTAAGTGAAAAAGATTAAAGTGATTTATGTTGTTTCAGCTCTTGGATTTAGATTGATTGGCAAATATTATGAGGACTTTGTCACACCTAAACATTCAGTGAAATACTGCTTTCAATATTAGAATATGTTTTTCTCACTTCGAAACCTTGAACTGACAACAGTCCCATTATATGTAAATAAAGATATGGTTATTTTCTTTTCCACGTTACATAATGGTGGAACCATTCTTGGAAAAGTAAACATTGAAATAGTAATATGCAGCTTGGCTGCATAATAACAGTTATTATAAAGTAGGCTGTATTTTATACTGTAAATTCAGTGAATGATTTGGACATTCAGGGTCATTCCTGTAGAGTTCAAAATTGTGAGGTGTGCTGCTGTGTTCCAGACATTGTAAATTTCTGTTCTATGCTTTTAATCAAAATTTAATGTATTAAATGTGACAAACATTTAATCAAAATTAAATCTGATCTATTCAGTACCCCAGGTTGTCTGTACTGTAAAATCTATTTCAGTCCAGGAAAAGGCCCATGGTAACAATTCAATGAACATTGTATCATGACCTGTGCAAAAGTTTAAAAGATGCTGTGCTTCAATTTTTTAAAAAAGTTATGTAATCTCATCCCTTACAAAGCTGCCTAATGAAGGAATGCATGCCCTCAACTTCTAACCCAAAGGAGGTTGTGTTGCTCTGTTTCACTTTGAAGGCTACCTTGAATTGTCCCAATAGGTGGAGGAGGCTTTTGTGTTTAAGTAGAAACCTCATCCAACAAATGGAACTACAGTTCAAAGCTGAGTACTGATGGGAAGTGCCAATAAGAGGCAAATCATGCTACCTTTCTGCCACATAGCAGCTCACATGGGTAAATTATAGGCATCTTACGGATCTCAATATAAGAATATTCTTTGCCTTCCTACTAAAGTTGAACATTTTTTTATATATTAGTTGTTCTCAGGCTCAGCACCCTTTTGCAGCTTGATTCACTTAGGAAAAGAAACCCCCGGGTTCTTCAAAACCCAGGATTGTTGGGACAGTAAGCTATTATTTCCCATCCAGAAAAGGAGGTTGCTTTGTGAAACTCATCTGCAATAATAGTCTTTTCTCTTATTCAACATTTCATCCCTTCGCTGGCCTCCTCCAGAGTATCTGAATTATATTGCCTGTCATACAAATAGGGATGCATAAGGTAGGGGCATACACAAAGCTTTGCATCTTTTATTTAAGTAACCATTAATTTTAGGCGTTACATGTGTTTCTTTGAAGGATCCTCTAAAATAAAAAGCTCCCAGAGCAGCTAATAATGATCTATAATAAGATGATAAAAATGAAATACATAAGGAAAGTGACTGGGACGAAGGAAAGGGAGCAAGGCTGCACATTCTGTTATCTGTTCTTTATTGCTGAAATAGCTTTGTAGGACAGAAAATATTTTGGAAGAGGAGTAAAAACCTCATGGATTTCCTCTTCTTTGGAAGCAGAATGGGACTCTGCAGAGCTAAAGTATTTTTTTCCCAGGTCTCCTCAATGAACTGGATAGAATGGCTAAACATTAAAATGGGAGGGGAGAAGAAGCCAAGTACACAACTGGATAAAAACAATGCCTGAAGATTATTACTAGAGATTGTATGGAACCTCAATCAGATTTTTAAGTTAGGAATGACCAGTTAATGCTTTTTCCAAAGTGTAAAAAAGTGGAACAGAGTCCAATTTCTCCTTCTTAACTAGGTGTATCAATAAAGATAGACTAAGGACAACCAAATTCTTGCTTCTTTAGTTTCTGAAGGATTTAACCCTGCCTTTCCTAAAAGAGTTGATTTGGGTAGCAGAAGAATGGAAATAATCCCATGTAGTAGTATTAGTAGTAGTAATCTGGAGGCACCTAATTTAGAAAGAAATGCAGTGAGCAGACAGAAAACAATCAATCTTGCACCAACAACAGGTTGATTGTGGAATAATAAATGAAAAACATATAATAATGTAATATTATATGTTATATCAGGATTGTATAAGTAACAAGTTGAAGCATGATTTACAGAGAATTTTAAGATAGAAAATTAGTAGATTAGTATATACTAATATCTGGCAAAAAATAACTGATATTTTTAATTTATTTCTGGGCTAATTGGTGACTACAGCCTACCTCAATTTAGTGAGCGAAATTTCTTTTTAAAAAAAAAAATAAAAGCACATTCTGACCCAGTCTTTTTGTGTTTTTATGTGGATGTTCTCATACTCATCAGGAAGCCACAGCAAACTGTAACATAAAAGTGATGTTATTACACAAATGGCACTGTTACATATTTGATCACAATGTCTGATACAGTATGTAAGTCACAACATTTATAACACAAAACACTGCCCTGTACCTTTCATCATTTATCATCCTTTGGACACCAGTTCTATGGAAATAAGACAGATTGGTTGGGCATAGTCCAGGATGGTTAGATAGATACTTTTTGGTTTACTCTTTATCATCTGTTATAGTGGTCCCTTGGTCTGCATTAGATAATGTCATTTGCTGCCTGATCAAATCTACAAATTTGCTAAAGCTGGAGCCTTCTTTTCTATATAATTTTTAAATCTTTTGGCATTTTGATACATCTTATTGTACAGGTTATACAAAAGTGAGTAGCTGTCCTCTCATGGGCTACAACTAGATATTGAGCCAATCCATCTGTAATTCAAGGAGATATTCATGAAAGAGTAGCCAGTAAATCAATATCAAAGCAGTATGTGAAGTTTCAGAAATATTAGATTAAGTTCTACTGGGTAAGAGCAAGAGAGCAGAAGTCAAGGTTCAGGTAAAAAGGAAACAATATATAAAAGATCTGTCAGGCATTAAGATTCAAAGCACACAAATAGTCAAATATAGAAGGTTGCACATAGTACACATTTTTCTGGAAATAAGTTGCTCTGTAACAGAGACCTTTATAATGAAGGTTACAACACCATCACTGTCATACCCTAACTTATGTGTTCTGACAGCAAAGCCTATTAACTCTTGAGCTTGTTTTGATAAAGTTTTCTTCCCAAAGTTACTGAGTCTTTTTGTATTTGATGTGCTGCTGTTTACACCAACTAGGTGCCTGTATAACTGAATCTGGGGTCTGAGGCCCTTATTTTGAGAGATTACATGACTGCTCCAGGATCTTTGCCAGGAAAGGGTTTGAGATCTGCTGTGTTCGGTTTAGTGAAGGGGAAAAAAGTCCTGGTACGTCACCTGATGCCGCCATAGCGATGCAAGTTTGACACCTCTGATGTAAATATTCTAATGATCTTGGTGGTGTCCAGGGATTGATAAAAAAGCAATTAATCCAATTTTAAAGATCAAAATAATATATTGGAGTCTGTTTGCTAGGAGATAACTGAGGGCAATATAAGCTAATTTTGAGCTTTCTAAGGCAAGATTGTCAATAGGGAAGATAGGATCAATTTGTTTTGAGTCTGTTCCAATTCCACTCTGTCCTGGTTCTCTATCTATCTGCACTTAAGTTTGTTTTTTTAAAAAAAGTTATAAACATAATCAGCTCAGCCATACAAATTAACAACAATATACAAATTTCCGGTAAAGTCATAGGATAATTGAAAGCCATCATCTTTTGTACTTTAAGTTTCAAAGACATTGTAGACTTGTAGAAGACTATTTCACTCTTGAGAAAGACAGTCCTTTGTAAGTCCATGGGGGAAAAAATAATAATTAATTTCCATGAGAGATTGATTGGTTAGGGTTAGGCCTTAGTCTCTCATAGTCACAATGCTTTCCAGATATTATACTCTGCTTGTCTTTATGAATTCAATCAATTAAAGTTGGTTGTGCCTCCTCAACAATTTTATCAAAGAGAATTTAAGATATAAAGGAGCTTTTCTCATCCCATCCCTTTATTGTAGGTAGTTGTTTTGTTAGTTTAATTTCATCTAAAATAAACCATAACATAATATTAATCTAAAATTAAGCAAAAGCATTGAGAACTGCTTCTTTT